ACTAAGCATCAACAACCAAAGGACCCCCTCCGGAAAGCAGCAGTATTATTCTTCGCCAGAAAAGGAGGAGACAGCTGGAGACGAATAAACCTATTACCATGACCAAAACGGCAGAAACCCTTGCGCCGGAGAAGAGCATGAAGCTCCAAACCCGATCCCCAGAGGCCAATGTCAACAGGAAAAAAAGAGCCTTAGAAAAACAATCCTGGACCGAAGGGGCCACAACAAACCAAAGAGAAGAGAGATAGGAGAGCACTGTCCAAAGACCAGGCGGCGCTTGAGCATGCCGGAGATGAAACAATGCACGAGACAGCTTGCGAAAAGGCCCAGAAGTAACATCTATACTGAAAGCAAGCTGCTGCGGCTCCTCCAGCGTCCCAGGATATGAGGAGACAGTATTCGGCATAAGATGACGGTCCTAGAACAACCAGGAGAGAAAGGACAACACCACCCGACCCGAAAGCGAAGTACTGTACAATGACGAAGAGTCAAAAAGAAACGGAAGGACCGCCAGGAAACTTCATACTACAGTACTACCAAGATGAAGCCCTCAGGTGAGACACCGTCAAGGAAGCCACCTGATCACCATACAGATGGTGATAAACTCTAGTAAAAAATATCAAATGTGCCACCATAAGAGCAGTACTGAAACAGAGAACAGCACAACAAGTCACAAAACCATACGTATCCTCATCAGCCGAAGAACTGCAGGGTGGATCGCCGGCGCGAGGGTCTGGGCTCTCCCTTCCCCCATACCGGGGAGTGCTGAGCTGCGCAGACATGCCATGCAGCTCCTGTGACATCATGCACGTTTTCATTTGGGGAGTTCTGTCCACTCGTTTGTCTATTTTTGTCGTTTTTAACCAGAATAGGGGTTTATTTTGGGGCGCTTACCTTTCCGGGTGCCTGTCCCGGTCGATGGCAGATATACAATGCTCTCAAATCACATGTGCATTTCTATAGGGTATTGCTCCTTGTGCCTCTGAGGGGGAAGGGGGCCAGGTTCTGGCTCATGATCCCCGGTAGGCCTAGAACTTCACCCACATCGACTGATGCCAAAACTAGGGATATCCATATCAGCCTGGATAGCTCCAGGGAGCCTTAGGGGCTCCACCCAGAAAATGTGGCTGTCCATTAGTAAAATGAAGTATGTACTTGCATTAAATAAGGTAAAGGCAGAGACCATTGTGTGCAGTGATCTATTGGAGATACGCTTGATGCATTTGGAGAAATTAAACTGCAGTACATGAAATGCAAAAACACATGAAAATAATTACAATAACTGTATCGGGAAGCACATAGTCTCGCTGCTTATAATTAATTAGGAATACAGTGGAACCTCGGGTTACGAGCGTCCCTGTTTAAGAGTTTTTCGGGTTACGAGCCCGATTTGTTCGGAAAATTTGCATCGGGTTACGAGTTTGTTGATACACGTATGGGCCGACCTAGTGCATGGTGGCACGGCGATCGCGCCTCAGTTTACCAGTGCCTCGTGCCCAGTGACTATCCCGCCTGAATTCTTCACAAGGATTTATAGTTTTTTGTAGGATTTTTGGCCATTTGAGCATAAAAGTTATTATATATAGCTCGCCATGGGTCCCAAGAAAGCCAGTGGTAATGTTTAAGGCAAGAAATCGCATATAAGGATGACAGTAGAGGAAAACAAGAGATCATTTGGAAGCATTAAAATGGTACTCATGTTGTTGAACTAGCTAGGCAGTACAACAAATCCAGTCAACGATATATGCACTATACTTGCCAAGAAAAAGGACATTATGAGTGCTAAAGTGGCAAAAGACATATCAACAATCACGAAACAAAAACCACAAATACTTGAGGATGTGGAAAAGTTGTTATTAATTTGGATACACAACAAGGAGTTAGCGGGTGATAGTGTTTCAGAGGCCATCATTTGTGAGAAAGCCAGGGTATTGCACGAAGACCTTGTAAAGAAAACCCCTGGAACGAGTGCAGATACGATAGACTTTAAGGCAAGCGGGGGATGGTGTGACAAATTTAAAAAAAGGAGTGGTATTCATAGTGTTGAGGCATGGGGAGGCTGCCAGCTCAGACAAACCAGCAGCTGAAAGATTTATTGAAGAATTTAAAGAGTTTGTAGAGGGTGAGGGATACCCACCGCAACAAGTGTTTAATTGTGACGAAACAGGACTGTTTTGAAAAAGATTGCCTAAGAGGACATACATTACCAAGGAGGAAAAATCCTTGCCCGGACACAAGCCTATGAAACATAGGTTTACGCTTGTGCTGTGTGGAAATGCGAGTGGCGATTTGAAAATTAAACCCTTGCTTGTGTATCATTCTGAAAATCCAAGGGTTTTCAAAAAGTATGGTGTGCAGAAAAACCAAATGTGTGTGATGTGGAGGGCTAATAATAAGGCATGGGTGACTAGGATTTATTTTACGGAGTGGGTGAATGATGTGGTGTGCTCTGCCATACAATAATATCTGCAGGAGAAAAATTTGCCACTCAAGGCCCTGCTTCTCCTCGACAATGCTCCTGCTCATCCTCCAGGCATTGTTGAATAGGTACAGTAATTTTCTCACAGTAAAGTTCCTTCCTCCTAACACCACTCCTCTAATTCAGCCTATGGACCAGAAAATCATAGCAAATTTTAAGAAACGTTATGAAAAGGTACTTTTCCAGAAATGTTTTGAAGTGACTGAAGCAACAAACCTCAACCTCAAAAGAGTTCTGGAAACACCATTTTAACATTTGTAGTGCTTTAAAATTCGTTGACAAAAGCCTGGCAAGAAGTGACTCAAAGAACCCTGATCTCTGGCTGGAAAAAATTGTGGCCTGAATGTGTGTCAGAACTAGACTTTGAGGGGTTTGAGCCTGTAAATGAAGTGCCTATTGTTGAGGAAATTGTTACTCTCTGCTGGAAGCTTGGGCTGGGCTTGGAATTGGATGGTGCTGATGTGGAGGAGTTGGTGGAAGAACACAATGAAGAACTGACCACCGAAGAACTCCAAGCCCTTCAAAAGAAGCAGCAAGAAGAGGCAGCTGAGGATATTTCTCCAATGAAGGAGGATGAGGCAGAAGGTGTCCCTTCCGCAACCATTAGGAAGTGGTGTCAGATGTGGGAAGAAATGCAAACTTTTATTGAAACGACTCGCCCAGAGAAAGCTGTAGTAGGCCATTGCATTAATCTTTTCAATGACAATGTGATGCCTCACTACAGACAAATGTTGCAAAGAAGGGAAAAACAATCTTCAATGGATCATTTTATTGTGAGAAAATCAAGCAGTGAGCCACAACCAGGACTTAGTGGTATGCAGGCAAAATGTGCAGGCAACTCCAGAAAGATCTTTACTGCCTGATGTTATAATGGAAGGGGACTCTTCTTCCATACAGTAACACCTCTCCTCCTCCCCCCTCCTCACCATCTTCCATATGCCAACAGCAAGGGTAAGTAATAACTTGAACATACTTTTGTAGTGTGGATTTGGATGAATTAGGTAAAAAATTTAGTTTGAAGTGAAGTTTTTGGGTAGTCAGGAATGGATTAATTCATTTCCGATTACTTCTTATGGGGAAATTAGCTTCGGTTTACAAGCTGTCTCCAGGAACAGATTAAATTCTTAAACCAAGGTATCCCCTGTATTTGGGAATGTGGTAGTTAATACTATAAAATATAAATATATTTTTATTGAAAAAACATGCCATGTTAGATTGCATAACTACAGATTGAGAAGTATTTTGGTCAGAAGATTAAAGCAGTTGTAAATATTCTCAACCATGATATAATTTTTTTATCATAACTTTTGCCTTTCATAAACATAAGACAAAGAATCTAAACACTTATATAATTATATTATGGATAAGCAGTTGCTTTAAAATATAGCTGCTAATTAAAATAAAACTGGATGGAAGACTTCAGAGGGCATACATGCCACAAAATGGCATTGGTGCACAAAGTTGTTAAATAAAAGTAGATTCTCAATGTTACAGCTTGCTTAACATAAACTACAAATGTTTTAAAAATTACACTGAAACAGGGAAGCAAGAAAAGAATGAACAGATACATTTATGGATTGGAAAAAAATTATTATATATATATATTTATATATATATATGTCGTACCTAGTAGCCAGAACGCACTTCTCAGCCTACTTTGCAAGGCCCGATTTGCCTAATAAGCCAAGTTTTCCTGAATTAATATATTTCGTCAAATTTTTTTCTTATGAAATGATAAAGCTACCCATTTCATTATGTTTGAGGTCAATTTTTTTATTGGAGTTAAAATTAACGTAGATATATGACCGAACCTAACCAACCCTACCTAACCTAACCTAACCTATCTTTATAGGTTAGGTTAAGTTAGGTAGCAGAAAAGGTTAGGTTAGGTTAGGTAGGTTAGGTAGTCGAAAAACAATTAATTCATGAAAACTTGGCTTATTAGGCAAATCGGGCCCTGCATATTAGGCTGAGAAGTGCGTTCTGGCTACTAGGTACGACATATATATATATATATATATATATATATATATATATATATATATATATATATATATATATATATATATATATATATATATATATATATATATAATATATGTGTGTGTGTGTCATACCTAGTAGCCACAACTCACTTCTCAGCCTACTATGCAAGGCCCGATTTGCCTAATAAGCCTAGTTTTCATGAATTAATGTTTTTTCGACTACCTAACCTACCTAACCTAACCTAACCTAGCGTTTTCGGCTACCTAACCTAACCTATAAAGATAGGTTAGGTTAGGTTAGGTAGGGTTGGTTAGGTTCGGTCATATATCTACGTTAATTTTAACTACAATAAAAAAAAAAATTGGCCTCATACATAATGAAATGGGTAGCTTTATCATTTCATAAGAAAAAAATTAGAGAAAATATATTAATTCAGTAAAACTTGGATTATTAGGCAAATTGGGCCTTGCATAGTAGGCTGAGAAGTGAGTTCTGGCTACTAGGTACGACATATATATATATATATATATATATATATATATATATATATATAAAATAAAAAATGTGTGTGTGTGTGTGTTAATTACACACACAAAAGATACACACACAGCTATGTGGGAAAGTTATTGGAAAACTTCTGGAACTTGCCTAATATAAGCCAGCAATTTTTACAAGTTTCCATATTCAATAAGAACTGCCAAAATTCCTTGGAAAAATGAACTGAAAGAAAATTATTTAAATCTACAAATTAAATGTCATTACCCATGTACAGTATTTCATTACCAACTAAATGTAATGCATTCTAGAAAAAACTAATTCTTTTGTAGAGCTCAAACTCATAATAACATGCACTACTCCCTATTAAATAAATAAAAAAATTACAAATTAAGAATTTAAATGTATTACTTGATGTACTGAAATAATTTAAATGAGTATTTTGGGTAAAACTATTACATAATGACAATTACAAAGTGAACATTGTTCATGTATTTCAGTAATGTGTAGTGGAAACAACATCCATATTAACTTTACATACAGAGTATTAACCAATGCATTCAAGGATCATTACCAACCTAAATTGAACAAAACTTGATATGATTCATTTAATTTTAAATTTGTATATATTTTTATATCACCGTGTTACAAAATTAGAGTATCTTCAGCTAATGCCTCCTGAGAATTATACAAATTTGGGTGAAAGAGTATTAGACATTTTCATGTCTAATATTTGAATTAAGACTAGAGGAAGCATGTGATAATAATTGACAGAGCTCACCTGCTGCACTTGCTGTTCTGCTAGCATCATCTAAGGCTTCCTGCATGAACTTGAGACGCCCATTACTAGCTTTTTCTTGATCATCATTCTACAATAGTAAACAAAGTAATTTCCTTTCAGGCAAATTGAAATTATAAATTTATGATGAAAGCATTACATAAAAGAATATTAAGGAAAAAGTTGAATGAAATACCTCTTTCTGAGCATCACCATTGTAGCTCGTCCCAGCTGATGCACTTGCCATTACCTGGCAAACTAGCCATGCTTGATGCCTTTGAGACTAAATGCTCACTGGGGACAATAACCTGTACCCTCTGAGGCAGGTAGCACATGGGAATAGAAATACAGTAATAATAATAAAAACAGCAACGAGGCAAACCAGCCACAAAAGCATCAAATGAGGATCACACGGGAAATCATGAATCAGATCGTGAGGAAACTTCTCAGGCAGTCACCCCTGAGTCAACACCTGCATCAGAGGAGCTCCAGGATATTTAAAATTCCTAAGTACCGTAGAAAAGATTAATGACCATGAGTGGTGTCCAAGGAAACATAGGTGTAGTGTATTTGAAAAATGTGAGATAACATGAATGTGCCAGGGGAAGTGAAAGAGATGAGAAAAAGTTGCATAGTTTAAACTATGCATAGCATAAACATAGTGCAGACAATGAAATTCAAAATGGCCACCAGCAAGAAGAAAAACAGAATAGAGCTAGATTTGTTGGATTCAGTAAAGAAAGTCTACACAACAAGTTGCCAAATTGGACATGATAGTTCACAATAATGTAGAAATAATCAGTAAATTGAGGAAATTAAAATGTTAGGAAATTACAAAATGATGAAGGGAAATAATGGTTATTAAAAGGATATCTTTCAAAAGAAGACAGAGAAGCTGAAACTGAACCTCGTCGAGGCAAAACGTCTAAGTGAGAGCAGGAACGAAGCAGAAATCAATTCTTTTTTCTACAAGGCAAACCAACAAAATCACTAGAGAAAGGGGGAAGTTAAGAATAAGGAGAGAGGGAACCTGTTCCTGAAAATTGTATACACCAACATGGAGTGAGATCAAAGATGCTGGAGTTAAGTGATGTAATACAGCTGCAGATGCCAGACATTGTTGCACTCACAATGACGAATCTTTAAAATGATATTTTAAATGAGTTCATATTTCCAAGGGACTACTAGTTACTCAAGGTGGTGGCATAGCTGTGCTGGTGAAAGAACACTTAAAGGTAAACAAAATAATGATTGCCAATCCAAGAGAAGTTGACATAATAGCGCTGGAGATCCGCGATCAGGATGATAAACTAATAATCATAAGTGTATATAGTCCACCACCATGCAACACATGGTGGTGGACTATACACAGGTTCTGTGTCCCTACGCAGTTCCGCAGGGACACAGAACCGAACCCGGGGGAGGAGCTGAACCCAAGTCCAAATTGTATGCAGAGGGGGGGAGAAAACCCTACTCCTTGCAACAGTAAGCCCCGCTCAGAAGGACGGAAAATTCAGGCGGAGTCCAACGAAGTCCAAGGCCCCCAAGTCAGCTCCTCCCCCAACCCCAGGAACCTCCACTTCAGGCCCCGGGTCTGAGTTGTCCTCCAAAGCCCCGGCCTCACAAGAAAAAGCTGGGGCAGCTGAAAGAGCTGGAAAAGAAGGGGCTCACCGGTAAGACCCTGGAGCAATGGCAGCAGCAACAGACTCGAATGCCTCCGTAGCCACCCCGAAACTGCCCGAGTCTCGGAAACCTATAACCCTGCCTTGACCCCTAAGCCCTCAGACGCTTAGGGGCCGGAAGCAGGAGGGGGTGGGGGCCGAATGAACCGCCAAAGGGGAAGAACGAGGGGGCACAGATGGAACCAAGGCCGAAGCGACCAAAGCCTCAAGTCCGAGTCCCTATAGGCAAAGCGGGGTAGCCTCGGGGCATCTGGGGAAGCAACAACCCGAGCCTGTTGCAATAACCTAAACCTATTCTGCAATGCGTGCGCAGCCTGCACCCGAAGAAAATTATCATCAGATTGGGTGAATTGAGTCACAAACAAGCAACAAAGCTTGCAGGACTCGGGGTTGAATGTGTCGCCGACCCAACAGGCAGCATGATGGAGACAAAAACTATGAGTATCGCCCTGAGACAAGGGGACAGAGCAACCCTCAAACTTGCACAAAGCGAGAGGAGACGCAGGGGTCTCCTCCATCAGACCCAAGTGCCCCCGCGGGGTTTTCCAGGATCCCTAGACTGGGTCTGCTAAGAGTTATCCCAGGCAGGGTACTGCTAATCGGCACCCCAAACTACCAAGCAAACTGCTAAAAGCTGAACTCACGGGACGTGTCCACTCATGAGGCTGAAGCAGGGGGTGCCACCACACAAAATGACCCTAATATAAGAGAGAGGGAGAACACAAGGCAGACCCCCCATCAGGCAAAAAGAAAAGAAAAACCTCGCAAGAGGACAACGTACCCGAAGAGAACAGAGTCAGCCGCTGTTGAAGGTGAAAACTAGCTACGCAGTACTCAGGGCCCCACTAGTGCAACACTACCACTTACCCCAAGGCATACAAGGGTGGAAACCCACTACACACTCGCGAGCGCTAAGCAGCGAAAGGCCAACAGAGGTAGACCCAAGTTGACTTGTGGAAGGGAACCCCCAAGCCCCGAGGGTGGCACTTACAGGGCACTCAGGGAAGGCACACACAGCCCGAGTACCTGAGAATATTACTCCCAGCTCGCACGACCACCGTAAGAGCAGCACTGAAAACAATGAACAGCACTGAGGAACTGGGGTGAGGATCGTCGGAGCAAGTGTCTGCAGCTCCCCCTTCCCCCTCCCGGGAAGAGGGGAAGCTGTACAGACATGCGGCATGGCTCATGTGACGTCATGCCTGTTTGCTCGTTTTTCTTTTGGGGAGTTCTGTCCACTCGTTTGATGATTTTCGTTGTTAACCAGAATAGGGGTTTGTTTTGTGGCGCTTACCTTTCTGGGTGCCTGTCCAGGTTGATGGCAGATATAGAATGCTCCAAATCACATGTGCATTTTTATGGGCCATTTCTCCTCGTGGAGCAATGAGCCAGGTTCTGGCTCATGGTCCCCGGTAGGCCTAGAACTCCACCCACATCGACTGATGCAAAATAGTTAGGATATCCATATCAGCCATGGATAGCTCCGGGGAGCCATAGGGGCTCCCCCAGAAAAAAGTAAGACTCGCTATGATGAGGCGGCTCAGCAGGGTCAGATGGATCCAACATCAGCGACAGTACTGGATATTGGCCAAAGCGGAAAGCTGAAGCTCCTGGGCCACCACCTGTTGACAGTCATTTACAATCGTATGAGCTACTTTTGAGTAAACTGCTTAAAAGAGTCATTTGGCTTCGATTTTGTGAACCACGCAGTTGTCTGTATCACTTCGCTCGATTACTGGCTGCTTTCTCAGTGTGGGTGATTGTAAGAATTCCCACTCTCTGCCCCTGTGAGGGGAAGTCTGGGAGGGGCCTGGTTATGGGTTTGGTTCCCATTAGACCAAATAGGACTCCTATGACTGATGTGACTCATTGGGAGTCACAAAAAGGCCCCCCGAGAAAACGGGTACAGTAATAGAAGCTGGATTTTCAAATATGATTGAACAAAACTTTTCAACTTACCCTTTTTGTGTATGAAGCAATGGATACTTCTGATTTTCCAGTTTTGTATTCTGAAAGCTTTCCCATGTCCTCATCTGTCCACAATTCATGTCTCAACTGCAACTCCTTATCAAGAAAGAAATACCAATTTTTGTATGAATTTACAAGTATTATCTGAAGAATGTATACTCAAAAGCTTTAAAAATTATATATAGAAAATGTTGAGGAACTAGACCTATATCTGCAATCCAAAATAATTCCGTATGAAAACAGGCATGTCAGAATGTACAAAACAGCCTCACTGAAAATTAAGGATGCAATAAGTACTCTTAAGAGATTAGATTATATAAACATTTAGGGTGGCCACTGTTCAGGGGGTATGTACCCATGATGGGATTCAGCTGGTGTACACAGGTTTAAAAAATTTCCACACTATACAGAATCAATAATTAACACTTTCATAACCACTTGAACTGGTCAGTACAGCATAGGTCTCACTTCTTGCAGGTCGGCATTCACTCCCTGATTGTTCAAGTGGTTGGTCACCACTCCTTTCCTCTGTGCTATCCCAGCTCCATGTTTGTATATTCCTTCCAAGTGCTATATAATAATACTGGCATAGCACTTTCTCCCCATAATTACCTTAATTATCTTTCAATCCATTCACAATTTTTATTTATAATTAATATTATTTTATATCACATTCAATTAAAATTGTATGTATATTTCAACCCATCCTCCTGTAGTAATTTTTGTATACCTATGTGGACTATAGTTATACATAGTATCATCCAACAAAAATCTGCCATCAGAACAATAACAAACTGTTTTCAGATAACACACAGCCCCTCTGTTTAAATCACTAAACATGCTAAACATTAACTCACTCCACACATTCTCTTGTGCCTTTAAACCTACAAAATTTTGTTCCTAAATGCAAATCCTGATCTGAAACTCTTCCTTGACAGATGTAATGGAACCCATAATCACCACACCAAAAATAAATCTCTCTGATATCCCCAGATTCAAACTAAATCTGTGTAAACACAATACAAATAAAGGGACCTAGTCTATGGAACTAACTTCCTACTGAATTAAAAAGCTGTCCAATCTGTTATGGGGCTCATATATGTAACATATATAATATATTCTATGATCAATCAAACAGTGTTTTTGCTGTTATTATACTATATACCGCATTATATATAAGTCTCTCCTTATTCAAAAGTATAAACAAAAAGTACCTAATTTCATCCACACAGTTTCCTACCAGTGCTGCAAACTTGCACTGTATCTTGTGCTACCCACTCCTCCAATATATGTGCCTAAGCCATACATCACCACCACTGTAATTACTGCTATCATCTTATATCATGATTGTTGTGTTGAATGCAAATTTTACTACAATGTATCTAGAATTAATCCTCAAATTATGCTACAATGTACCTGTTGAGACTTCTCGAATTTTACAGTAATGTACCTATTAATTTTCTTCAAATTTTTTACAATGTATCTGTTAACATTCTTCATATAGTTCAATGTGTGGAACATCGCTACTGTATGCTCATAATTATGGGCTCATATATGTGACATGTATAATATATTCTATGATCAATCAAACAGTGTTTTTGCTGTTATTATACTATATACCGCATTTTATATAAGTCTCAACATGTTTTGTTCACCATAACTGTACAACTAAGCTGGTATGGTGTCCAAACATCATAGTGGCCACCCTACACAGCATGACACGTCACACCAGCAGATGACACCACCTCCCTCACCAAAATGGCTCCTCCCAATATACTTTTCTGAGGGGTGCCACTTCGGCTTCCCGGAGCTATCCAGGCTGATGTGGATATATTAGACTTTGGCATCAGTCAATGTGCATGGAGTTCTAGGCCTACCGGGGACCATGAGTCAGAACCTGGCCCCCTCAGAGAGGCACGAGGAGCAATGGCCTATAAAAATGCACATGTGATTATGGTGCATTCTATGTGCCATCGACCAGGATGGGCACCTAGAAAGGCGCCCAAAAACCCCTATTCTGATTAAAATATTGCTACTGAAAGCCGAACTTTATAATATAATGTTATAATTTAACATTCTTAGAAGAGCATTCATGTCAAGTTCCTATCACTGATCTTAAGCAACTCGCACATTTCTTCACTAACCTTCCTCCCATTTGAATACTTCTTCATAAACCTTTTACTCTGCTCTTAGCATTCCACAATATGTATAACTGTACATAGTGCATTTTCCAATGTCTTGGCTGCCTAATTCTGTCAGAATGAGTGGTTTAAAATATGTAAGGTTTAAACTACATAGATCAAATTTGTAAGCATATACATAACATTAATCTTTCTTACACTTACCTTTGTTTGACTCTCCTGTAAAATGCTCTGTAGAGAAGCCATATTGAAATTTGTCATGTTGAGCCACTTTTCCTGAGCAACTTGCAGATTTTGTACCTCCTGCTCTAGGATAAGCATCTCACCTCTCTGGTATGTGTCAATATTGCTGCAGAAAAAAATTAAGCATTAATATTGTTCAGAATCTAACTGTATGGAAAGATTAGACACGACTAATAAACATGCCTAAAACATCAATTGTTATACGAAATTTGTAATGATTCCACACTGGTGATAAGTGCTTTGCTAAATAGGTCAAACAGCAATTAATAGGGATCCTGCAGCAATTGACTCATCCTGGTCAATTCTGCAGTTATTCCGTTGCCTACTCCCATCCAGCTTTCTCTGATACAGTACTCCTAACTGCACTGCTTTCTCGATCCAGAATAATGTATCCTTTGTTCCCTTTCGTTTTCAGCTAAATGTTCATTCCACCGTCACCTGTATCTTTTGCTTCTCTCTGGGAACTTGATTTCTTGGTAAGTGATCATTTATCACCTGCGCTCTCTGCCTCTTTGGGGTGAGCAATATTTTGGCCTTTGATCCCCAGTAGGTTTTTAATGACTCACAAAGGCTGATGTGACTTAACAGTGTGGAGCTATCTCAGTGCGTCTAGTAGCAGGGAGCCACCATTTTGCCCTTCAGAAAATAAGGTCTACTAGACACCCAAGCACCATACAAGCACAGTGAGGCTTTGAACACCCAATCAAAAGTGAAAACCAACATCCAGTTTTATTGCTAAAAACCAAAAGCCTAGGCAGCAGCCTTTGACAATGAAGCAAAGAACACTGCTAAAGCAGCAAATGCCCCACACCAGGAAATGAAGAAAGATAGCTGAAAAGCTGAACAGAACAAATCACAGGAAGAACCAAGAGCCAGAATATAGACCCAGTGATAAGAGACAAGGTGAAGCAGTAGAACAAACGCCTAAGCAACACAAAGAGCATGCAAGAATAACCAATGAGTGACAACCAGACAAGGAACTTGTGAGATTACTGATTCCGTCCTCTGGCTATGACTGGAGCTTATTTACTGTTAAGTGCCTTCCCCTTAGCCCCAAATTTGTAAGCCAGATGTGAGATTATCCTTTCAGGTCGATTGTAACCACATACCCAGACTCTACACAGGGAGGCCAGATGTGTTGAATGAACAATCCGAAAGGAGAGAGATAGGCGAGAGTAAACGCCAAAGATCCCATAGTACAGGAGAAGGATGAAGACCAAGGTGGTCTTCCCCTCCACGATGCACCACAAGTCCTTTTCTCACTGCGTCGGACTCTGACGCAGTGAGAGTCCGGAACTCTGGAACTGGAACTCGCTTGCAATGAATAAAGCTGGTAGAGGATGGGTCCTCACACCGAATTTGATATTTCAGCGATTGCGGTTAGGAGCTGGAGCCTGAACCAGCTCAAGTGCCTCTTCAGAACAATTGTAAGTAAGGTAATGAATGGGGGCAGTACTGCAGAATGAGGGAATGACATAAGGGCCTGTGTAAACAGAATAACAACTTAATGACTTATACACAGCCTCACACTTTACGTTAAATCAAGAGACACTTTAAATCTGACAACTACCACTTTTCAGTAGGTCTCCTTGACCCACCACTTGACAGGTGTATAGACACACACAAAGTCTAGACCCACTGGACAGGTCATCAACAACAATGAACTAACCTGAAACACTTTGTGTACACCCTTGTCAAATCAACTACTTCACCAACGCACTACAGTACATCAACATATGAAAATGCATACACAACAATGTCACAAAGACAATCGCCTCAATAACACACCCACAAGTAATTTACGTCACTTTACTCAATGCCAATAGGACATACAACAACACAAGTAAGTTGCTTCAGAGGGGGTTGGGGGCTTTTGTAGTCCGGCTTCCCAACGGTTTTGTGAGGGGAGTCCTCGTGTCCACCCCCCACTACCATACTAGTTAAAATTACCCCACTGATTGGGTAGTATCCTACTCCTGGTAACGGAGTCCTGCATTATCCATTGCAGCTGACCCAGGTGACCCAGGTCGCAACTGTTGACTGCATTGTACACGTGGCGATGTACGGAGTACTTTGATCCCAAACTTGGGCAACTCTGGATTCCAAATAACGGAGTTGCCTCCTGCAAGCAATAAGTTTTTGCGCTGAGAGAGCACTCTCTCACAGAATTGGACCAGGCAGGAACATGGACAAAATACCAAAGAGCACCAGATAAAAAAAAGTAAAGAAACACCCAGGAATCCCAGCCACAAAGTGGGTCTCAAAGGATTTCACAAGAAGGACACAGGCATGCAAGCAATTGCCAGGAGGACACACCGCAACCCAAAACTGGGCCCCATCTGCCACCACTGAAACCTGAAGGTGGAAGAGGTGACCTGAAAAGCCCTAGCAAGCCTGGGCTTGCCAGGAAAGAGAAAAGGAGCAGAAAACACATTTGGATAGATAAAGGATTGTCCAGTGTTTCCCTAGTATCAGCATGACCCTGCAGGGAGAGTTTGAGAAGATCTCTACTGCATCAATATACTGTAGATTGTCCACCTGTCTAGAGGTCAGGTTCTTTGCCTTTGAAAGCACAGTGGCATAGCTCAGAAATTTGCTATAAATTTTATATATAAATTAGCATAGGATGAGAAGTATTTTACATGTTAAAAAATCAATTTAAAAACAATAAATCTTACTGTTCAAGTTTGTTTAATTTAAAGATGCTGGATTTCAACTGTGGCATTTGGTTGCACAATTTCTCATCATCTGTTATATTCTTTGATAACTGGTTTATTTTTCCCTCTAGACACTCACACTCTGCCTGCCATGGAGAACAACATTATGAACATTAAGCTTCAAAAATATGTAAATTATTATTATCTAATTGGTAAATAGAAAATTTAACACAGGTATTAACTTGCTGAATATATTGAGATTAATGCACAGAAATATTATGGATGTGGGTCTACCCTGTCAGGAAAAGAAAGATTAAGGCTTATTCAAATCCCTCAAGTCAAGGGCTGGGTTATATGTACATTATGAGGTTACCTATCCAGTTCTTTACCTTAACCTTACTGGCAAAATAATTCATACGTTCACTATAAAGTAGGAAGGGTGAAAGAGCTTACAGCTATGTTAAGAATAACAAGGGTTATTCTTAAAATAACCAAGTAAATAAATAAAATAAGAATAACCAAGGGTTATTCATAAAATGTTTCTTAAAAACTTAATTCTTAGTATTAAAAACCTAGCACTGAATGTGATGAAACACTTTGGTGGTAGAGCTGTGGTAGCTTCTTGAAGCTATCTCATTGAGATTCCCCCAATTTAATGGGCTACATCAATCACAGGAGTTGTGTTTTGCCTACCGGGGTCAGAGCCAGAACCTCATCTTCTTACAGAGGCACAGGAAGCAAGTGAAAATATGCCACCCCACCAGAAAAACATCCAGAAACTCGGCAAAGCTTTATGAACAAATGCAAGGTCTACAGAAAATGAAGCATTAAAACAGCCAACCTCTGCAAACAATTTAAAAGAAATAACTGATTCACCCAAAACTAGCTCGAACCCTATAACATTAGTACCTGTGGACAAGCTGCACAGTACCCAACCGGGCCACAAGCAGCCCAACCGGGCCACAAGCAGCCCAACCGGGCCACAAGCAGCCCAACCGGGCTACAAGTGGCCCAACATGGCAACCCGGACTAGGAGCCGACAGACGTTCCAATAATACGGGAAGTAGTGAAAAACCTTCCCGAACCCTCGAGAACACAGAAGCAAACACCAGTCCCGAAGGCGCACAAAGGCACAGTCCCACCCGAGACCAGAAGTCACGTAGAACCCCAAGAACGGGGAAACATGACGAAGACACCGTCCCAAAAAGGGGGGAACATCCACCCACAGGACGGAACCAACCGACTCAAAGGCCAAGGAACCAAGCCCGGGGAGGAGCTGACGTCCAACAACAAGTACGGCGAGTGGGGAGGAAAAACGCCACTCCACGTAACCATAAGCCCCGCCTAGAGGGGGAGAAAAAAAACCCACGGGGTCCTACGGGGCCAAAGCCCCCAAGTCAGCCCCACACCAGCCCCGGGAACCGACACGACAGGCCCCGGGGCCGAGCCGTCCCCTCAAAGCCCCGGCTGTACCAGAAAACCGGGGCAGCCACGAAAATACTAAGGAAGGGAGCCCATTGGCAGACTCTTACAACACAGCTGGAGGAACAGGCTCAAATGCCCCCGTCACTACCCCGGGAGGGGAATTCCCCGAGACTGCCCGAGTCCCAAAACCATCAAAACCCCGCCCAGATCCCACAGACGGTAAGGAACCGGATGTAGGCAGGAAGGGGGGATCCAGGGGAAAGACAAGGGGGCGTGGAAGGAACCGAAGCAACTAACACCCCCATGTCCCAACATGAACCAAAACGGGGCAGCCCCGGGACTCCCGGGAAGCAAACAAACGAGAGCGTTGCCACCACCAAGGCTCAAAGTGCAATGCTCCTGCTGCCCGCACCTGCTTAGTCAGCACAACCGGGTAACCAAGCCACAACGAGCAACAAAACTCGCAGGACTTTGGATCGAAGATGTCATCGACCCCACAGGCAGAAGACGGAGGCAAAACAGAGTCACCCTGAGACAAGGAGTGAGAGCAACCCTCAAACTCGCTGGAAGCGGGGGGGGACTCTGGGGTCACATCCATCGGACCCACGCACCTCCAGGGGTTTCCCAGGGTCCCGAGCGTGTACTATAAGAGGACTCGCACTCGGGTAATCCCAGGCAGGGTACTGCTAACCGGCACCCAAAGCTACCAAATAACTTTCCAAGAGCTGAACCCCCGGGACGTGTACACTCACGGGGACCTAGCAGGGGAAACCACCAGAAAAATACTCATAACACAAGGGACACAAGGGGCAAGAATGAAGGCAGACCCCCACCAGGTAGAAAAACAAAAAGAAAAAGAAAACCCCGCAAGAGGGCAGCATACCCAAATGGAACAGAGCCAGCCACCATGATTGGTGGAGACAAGCTGCACAGTACCCTGCGCCCCACCAGTGCAAAACTGCCCCTTACCCTAAGGCGAACAAGGGAGACAGAACCCACGAGCACACAAAGAGCGGCCAAAAACCAAGCAGTAAACGGCCTAGCAGGGGCAGAACCCAAGGAACTTGTGGAAGGTGGCCCCCAAGCCCCAAGGGCAGTACTTACAGGGCACCTAGGGAAGGGAATCCTAGGCGCATGCAGCCCAAGTACTGGAGACTCACTCCCGGCTCACGCACCACCTAGAAGACCGGTGGTGTTCAGCACTGTACCACACGTTAGATACAGTGCTGAAACAACTACTGGAGCCGGAGCACACAACCGGTGCCTATAGCATCTGCCGAAGAACTGATGGGTGGATAGCCGGCGTGGGAGGTCTGGGGCTTCCCCTTCCCTCTCCCGGGGAGGGGGGAGCTGCGCAGACAGCGGCGCAGTGACGTGTGACGTCATACTAGTTTGCTTGTTTTCTGTTGGGGGAGTTCTATCCACTAGTTCGGCTTTTGGTAGCAATTTTAACCAGAATAGGGGTTTGTTTTGGAATGCTTACCTTTCTGGATGCTTGACCCAGTCGATGGCAGACATAGAATGCTTCCAACCACACGGGGGTTTCTATAGGCCATGCTCCCCTTGCCTGGCCCCCTTGAGGGGGCCAGGTTCTGGCCGTGGTCCTCAGTAGGCCCTAGAACTCCATACACATGACTGATGCCAAAGTCTGACATTAGCATATCAACCTGGTAAAGCTCCGGGGAGCCGACGGGGCTCCCCCCAGAAATCTAGCATTTAATGTAATAAAATGCCTTTTTCAAGTGTTTACCTATCAGTGATTACTGGGGAGTGGGACTTAGCCTTTTATGTCCTGCCTCCTAGCTATTTATAACTGATATGTTAATTACCTCTCTCAACATCGTTTTCATATTTTTTTAAAACTCACGAATTATCTTATCCAAAGTCGATTACCTTTTCTTCAGCCAGGTGGTCAAGTTTCTGTAGCTCTTCAAGCAACAGTTCCTTTTCGGCTACAACTGTTTGTATCAGGTTGTGGATCTCGCTTAAAACTGCTGGTGCTGGTGGGTTCTGGTATGTGTAATCAGTCTCAAATATACCACAGGCCTGTTCAAAACAGATAGTAAAGTGTTACCAAATGATAATGGCTCTGCTTGTGTTTCTAAAAGTACCGAAAGACATTAAAAAATGTAATACAGTAATTAATAAACACATTAATATTATAGCATGACCCTGTTTCATAACAGGGGCCTGACAGCTGAGTGGACAGCACGTGGGATTCATAGTGCTAAGGTTCCGGGTTTGATCCACAGTGGAGGCGGAAACAAATGGGCAGAGTTTCTTTCCCCCTGATGCACATGTTCATCTAGAAGTAAATAGGTACCTGGGAGTTAGACAGCTGCTACAGGCTGCTTCCTTGGGATGTATAACAAAAAGGAGGCCTGGTCAAGGACCAGGCTGCGGGGACGCTAAGCCCCGAAATCATCTCAAGACGATAACCCTGCATTCACACTTGAGCTAATCATAAGTACCATTATCAAGTTATTCATATTTTGAGAAAAAGCCATGCATACAAAATAGATCAGTGTGTGCAATGACATAATAATTTCTATGCAACACCAGAGTAGCTAGTAGTTTACAGCACTAGTAATTCCTGTATACCCCAAAGATGCAAGACATGGGAATCAAAGACTATCTCGCAAATGTGAAAGAAAGTTCCACAGAAAGTTGAACAGCGAAGCAAAACCATAAAAAATCTCAATGTGAAAAAATGAAAATGCTATAAAATCCAGTCAATAGGTGGAAAAGGCAAGCTACATCTGCCCCAACTCTCCAGGATCTGGTTGGAAGTGGAGTATACTCAAGGGAAGAGGAGAAAAGTAGCATTGAAGCACTACACATTCATGTTTAGGGCACAGGACATTAAAGAGACAATGAAAGACCAACACTCAGTGGGACTGCCATAATCCTCTAGCCCTGAAAGTGGCTGTAATATATTTGCAAACAAAGCTGTGATAGTGAAATATACATACACATCATTGGCTGGCTAAACCTGACAACCCATTATGGGAAATATGGCCATGCCCTAGGTGCCACTTGAAGGGGTCACCACTGAGCACTTTTTATTAAAGTTAGATAAGCTATCCTTGAGCAGTGAAAAAAAGAATTTTCTTCAGATGCATAATGTCTTTGATTATTATTATTATTATTATTATTATTATTATTATTATTACAAGTATTATTATTATTATTGTTTTATGCCACTGCTGCTCACAACAATGATCTAAAGAAGAAGTGTGAAAAATTGGGGGAATTGTAAGTAGCATTTCAGGCAAGTCCGAAATCCTAATTTTCCCCGGTATATGACCTAACAAATTTTTTAACAACCAGGTACCCATTCCCTGCTGGGTGAACAGAGGCTACAGTTAAGGATTAGCACCCAGTGAATTCTCCCCGGCCAAGATACGAACCCAGGCCAAGGCGCTCACAAAATGCCAGACGAGTATGTAACCACTTTGCCACAGGGACTGCTTAATAAAATACACTGCTAATAAAACCTAACTTAACAAAACTTAACATAACCATGGATAGAGAGTAGATAATAGCATTAACTATGTGATGGTTTTGAAGCAATTATCTCCAGAGTACCACCTCCCTAAGAACAAGAAGAAAGCAAGACACCTTCAAGCAAACCCCAGAACCTGGGTGTCCAAGCCAAGATGCATCAAGAAAAGACCCACTCCCCCACAGAACAATGGTCCCTGGTGAGCACTAATGCTGGTGACAGGACAAGAGAAAAATCCAAAGCTGGAACAAATAAGGAACAGCCAAGGCTTAAGAGTTAGAATAAAAACCATAGATGTCTTCTCAACAAAGAAATGCATGGAAGACTCGCCCCAGCATCTTTCAGTGTAGGAAAAAAGAGTTGACATGGGGGACCACTGGGAACTGTAACCCCTCTGGAAAACAGGAAGTAAACAAGCAGGTGAGATGATGAGAATACAAGCTATGTAGCATGAAGTCATAAACAGCAAACTTCTGTTATCCCTGTAATATCCACTGTGTAAAATTATGTGAAGTATGATCTAAATGACCTGGTTTTTATGTGTAATCTCTCATTGTCATGCATGGCAGTTGCAGTGCATGCACTGTTACTAATCATTACAATTAAATATGAGGTGCACAGATAAATCTAAAAACCCATGTCAAACAACATCCACATGACATATTTTTGTACTGCCACTAAAAGGATAAGTATCGGGGTACACAGTAAGCTAACTGCTGTTGGCAGCAGCAGTCAAAATGGGAGACAAGCCTCACAGACAAGCCAGTAAACACACCTCCCTTGAGAATACCAACACTTTCCCAGCAATCCAGGACATCTGGAGATGAGCCCACCTGGCAATCCAAAGCAGTGTGCCTGGAAATCCAGGGTGGCTCGCCTGGGAATCTGGGACACTCACCCTGGGTATCCATAACACAGACCTGGTGATCCAAGGTGCAGGCCACATAATCCAAGGCACTTCCCATTAATCTATTAGCCTCTCTTTTTCCTGATGTTCTATTACACTCACTGGTAAATTGAACTGAAAGATATTGGAGTCACTTATTCAGCAGTTTTAAATTTTGGTAGTGCTCTTTTGGCCATGTCAGCCTCAGTATTGGGTTGATCTCTGATCCCCATGTTCCTCCCTATTACATATGTAGATGGAGCAACAGGAAATTGCAAGGGCCTTGCCCTCTGTAGACAACGAGTCTTTGATACCTTGTGCAAGTCTATCTGGTAACCACCAGTGCATAAGTTATGTAGAGTCACTTAGGTGGCCATACAGAAATACATGCAAACCCTAGGTGCCAATCAATTAAGAATTATGAAGTTGGCTCAGGAACTTCCACCACAAACACATGAATATAGACAGACATGTACACACACACAAACACTCACCTGTGGATTTGGATGGGTTGTGACACTGGATGACGAATTAAGCTGTGCCTGCAGTATAAAATATAATATCAATACCTATGCAGTACTATACTGTATTTTATATTATAATATTAAAATTAATACAAATATTTAAAGTGCAGCACAAAAATTAAGTGCCGAGTGTGCTGTAATCAAACGTCCTTTTCTAGTAAGCCCCGATAGCTACCAGAGATTAATTCTAGTACCACCAAGTAATAGCCAAACACACCAGGCTTTTGAGAACTATCCATCACAAGCATATTTCAAATATATTAACCTAGATTAGCTCATCCTCATGTGAATGTGATGTGCCGCTTCCATTTCTTCTAACCACAAGGAGAGAGAATTAATTTAAACACCCTCAGATTTAAGGTTTTTAAGCATCTTCCTTACACCAATGTACACAAATGTAAGCTGATATGCAAAGGCATGTACCAGACTTCACACAATTAGCACAAACCTAAACAAAAATTATGTCCCATGAAAAATAAAGTAGTCCTACTGGAGAGTCCTAATGATGTGATGAATTTGATCCTGGATATAATAACTTTTTGATCATCATATTTCAATTATTAATATTGTAAAATGACACTTGTTATAAACAACTCACCCCTAGTTGGCTGATGTATGATAGAAATCTGAAACTCTTTGAGAGTCCCTGGAATGATGATACCCTCTTGTGCAGCACATCCTTGTTAGTAGGTGTTAGTTTACTAGTTTCCATAATTAAACTTTCCTGCAATTGCAAAATTTGTTTACTAAATGGTATCTATAAAAGGTTTTTAATTATTTTTTACACATTTAACATACAGTACAGTACAGTCAAGCTGAACAATTTAAAACTAAAGGTTATCTATCAACATGTGTTTACACATGTGAAAATGCTTCATTACCTTTACTGATAATGTCAACAGCATGGCAAGAAATATGATCCTTTATCAACCAAGTGTGTTGATGGATCAACTTTCCAACCAACCTTTCCTTTCCAACAAAATAAAATAACCAACTTTCTTTCCCTAGAAATCCACAATGTTATTGGAAAATCATAGGCATACCTAGGTGTGCTTAAGGTGTAGTAATTAGAGATTTAAAATATTAATAAATTAATGTATCGCATTAAATCATCATATACCTTCTAATTATTTTTCCTTTCAATAAAGAAAATATATTTTTGTCACAACAATTGGCTTATAGATATCATGAAGGATATAGTGATCTTTGGTATTTTGTTCAGCAGTATAGTACAGTATACCTATACAAACCACAAAGCTACTGTACAAACAAAAATCCAGTGTTAATATAATGCAACACTTCTTTCTGGTGGGTCCCTCAGTAGCTTCCCTGGCTACCCACATGGGAGCACCAAACCATGGGAACCACACCAGGTTCCAAGAGTCACAAACAAGGAGCAACAGTTTCAAGCTCAACAAGCCACAATGTAGGACAAAAACAGATGTTTTTTCATCCATAGGGTTATAAAGCAATGGAACTGCCTACCAGACAAAGCTGCAAATGCCAAAGCATTGGTGAAATTAAAAATTTAGCTCAATAAAATCATCAGGACAAATAGGGGGGGGGGGAACCTTTTGACTAGCCACTGGCTTCCTGTCCTCGTCGAGGCCACTAGAGATAGTATCCCTAAGGAAAATTAGTCAATGCTACACAGTGCAGAGTTACAAACCCATTAAGATTTCAACTTAGATTCAACAGAGCAGAAGTTGTTAAACACGTGGGACAAATTCTTACTGAAGCGACCATACGAGTCATAAATACTTATACTCCGCCCAAGTAAAACAGAAACAAACAACATTTAGTGGGCCAGCCAGAGGCTTAGGGCCTGCACAGGAATATCCCTGCAAAAAAAAAAAAGAAAAGTCAATGCTGGATTTTTTATGACATTTGATGATCTACTTTGAGTGCATGAATAATTATCTGTTTTTCTTATCTGTTTTTCTGATCAAAAACTGATCAAAAAGGACAAAATTTAAAGTAAAACTAGATTATGTAAAACTAGATTAAAGTAAGATTATGTTTCTATCTTTCTTGAGACGTATAAAAATCTTACGTTTATTAACGATTCTGCGTGAAATAAGCATTGTTCTGAGATGAATATTGCGGATTTCCGGCTCTACGACCGATGAAAAATGCAACTTTTATACAACTACAAATATCTTGTTTTACTTTAAATTTTGTCCTGAAAGAGTTTTCATATATAGATCTAGTTTCTGCCGTTCTTCTGACATAAAAAGACCTTTGGTTTAATAAGTTATTAAGATGTTTTCAACAATATTACTAGGGCGTTCACCGATTCCAACATGGGCGACCCTTTTGGAAACGCATGGGAACGCAACACTTGGGTTGACCCGATTAACAGACTGGTTATATTCCAACAGGGTCTATTGTTCCGAACCTTAATGGAATCTGACCCATATATCCGCAATATTCATCTCAGAACAATGCTTATTTCACGCAGAATCGTTAATAAACGTAAGATTTTTATACGTCTCAAGAAAGATAGAAACATAATCTTACTTTAATCCAGTTATTATTTAATCTTTAATCTACACTGGCGGGCGGCGTTCTTGCCAACTATATGGCTGTTAAGTTGAAAATTGTAACTGTTAAGAGCATTCTATTGTGGTTTTAATATTGAACAATTATACATATACGAAACAGACAAATCTGGTGTCCGAAATAGTAAAAATATTAGTGTAAGGGGGATATTGGGTGTGCCTCGTATCCCCTACAACAACAAGAAGTTCGAGAGCGATGAGGCCGCCACCTACTAGCTTCAGGATGTCGTCGAATCTAAATCAACAATATACTACCGCAGCTACTTTCTCGGAAACGTAAGTACCTGCCGCTTTACTTCTCTCACCCTGCCTAGCCTGGCCTGGCCTGACCTGGCCTGACCTGGCCTAGCCAGACCTGACCAGACCTGACCTGGCCTTGCCTTACCTAGCCTAGTCTGACCTGGCCTAGTCTGACCTGACCTGGCCTAGCCTTACCCAACACTAATCACCACACGTGACAGCCCAAACGAATCGCAAATAAGTACACGTAACAAGTCATATGCCCGGACACTCTTTCACCTTGGGGACTGAGTGGTACCTATTGTATAGAAGAGCCGGCTCCCTGAGAGTGGTAAGAGGGCGTGATAAGAGGCTAACGTGTGGTCTTGAAGGAAGTCGATAAAGCAGACAATTTTCAAAAGGAAGGGCAGCATAACGAGCAGACAGGAATGGACAGACAGTCGGTTATCCCATAATGTGTAATACGCCCCGCACAGCATGGGTGGAGGGGGGGGGGTTGTAGCAGGGCACAGTATGGTGATGGTGCGGGTGAAGTACACACCCACTGAATTCCTGCCATCAATAATTGTTTTCATAACCATTAGAACAATGGCATCCCTCCAGCCACTATCCTTCCACTGACCCCCTCCTCTGGTCCTCCACCTCAGACAATAACCCCCACACCCCCTCTCCCTTCCAGACATCAGCATGTCAAAATCAGTACCATAATGTGTTTAAACTATTTAAACTAAGTCATTGTGTATCTCAAGGTATCTTAATTCATTTGAAAGTGTACATGTGCATTCGTTCATATACTCGCCTAATTGTTCTTGCTGGGGTTGAGCTCTGGCTCTTTAGTTCCACCTCTCAACCGTCAATCAACAGGTGTACAGGTTTCTGAGCCTATTGGGCTCTTATCATATCTACACTTGAACCTGTGTATGGAGTCAGCCTCCACCACATCACTTACTAATGCATTCCACTAGATATAATCATATATGATTACACATAATCATAATCATTCCATACACATAATCATATATGTGTACGTCAACGTACACATACATGCGTATATATACCTCATATTAAAATACTGATAAACGAATGACCATGAACAAATTAATTTATAATTGTAGCATTATATATAATTTTAATAGACTAATTACGTGTTTATACATTTGAATGGTCCAGACAGGTGGCCAGCCTTGGACATATACACTTCTGGTAGGCACAATGACCTCATGTTAGACCCTTGATAGATTATGTGAGAGAGAGAGAGAGCTGGGGCAGGGAGGTGCGTGCCCCAGGGAGATAATCCATGCCCATGCCCCACCTCGAGGTCAGTTCTCGAGTCACACCAAGAATAACAATCGAGCAAGTTGTCCTGACCAGGATGTGGCATATTAGGGAGGGTTGAGGAATAGGAAGCCTGTCTGATAGGGCTCTTGGCAAGCAGCTCTCCCTCAGTCTACCTATCTATATGGAAGAAATGTATCTAGGCCCTCCTCCCCCCTGCCTATTCTCTCTCCCCCACCTTTCTTCCTTCATTTCCTCCCTCCTTCCCTCCCCCTCACTGGTGAGAGAGTAGGAGTGTGAGAGTGGTTAGAGAACTCGTAGTTCTCACGCTCGTGAAATTGTCTGCGACCCTGGAGGAGTAGAGCGGAGGGGGGGGGGGTGAAAGTAGGTGACGATGGAGGAGTAGAGGGGAGCATTATATGCAGTGAACGTAGGTGTCTATGGAAGAGTACATCATAGAGGAGGGTGAAAGGAAGGTGACGATGGAGGAGGAGAAGGGAGGGGGTGTGAAGGTAGGTGATGATGGAGGAGTAGAGGGGAGGAGGGGGGCAAAGGTAGGTGTCTATGGAAGAGTACATCATAGAGGGGGGTGAAGGTAGGTGGCATATCAAAAGGCATATCAACAATCCCGAAACAAAGAACACAAACACTTGAGGATGTTAAAAAGTTTTTATTAATTTGGATACACAACAAGGAGTTAGCAGGTGATAGCATTTCAGAGGCCATCATTTGTGAGAAACCAAGGCATTTGCATGAAGACCTTTTAAAGAAAACCCCTGGAACGAGGTGGGGGGGGAAAGATGAATCAAGTTTGAAAATGTGAAAAGTTTGTGTGACAATAGAGCCTCGTGGAAAACTTTTGCTGTGGTCATTACCTGGTGGAATGCACCCAGGATGGAGTATTAGGGCTATACATCTTTTAAATCATAAAAGTAATAAACATTTCCCACCAACCTTACAAACAATATTAACCTATTTTCATGTATTTCCCCCATGTGCATTTTAACAAAGTTGCTAAATTGCCTTTATCATTCTGTAAAATTTCAATTACAGTACTGTATGTATAATTTTGTTAGTATAAATGGACTGAATATTCTGAAATTGCTATTAATTTTACAATTTCAGATTCAAAGGTGGTCTGGACACCCAATTTGGTCAGACAGGTGAAGAGAGCATTTAGGATAGTTCGAAGAGATGAAGATGGTCGGAATTGTGTTCGAAGAGGCAAACGCCCCCCTTTGCTCCTGACATTATGTTCAACCATTGACCTCTGCACACCTAACACAAGGTAGGTTGAAAACTCCTCCTTCATGTCATTGGTTCATTAGCCAGAAACTTAGGGCCCATGCAGGAATATCCCTAAAAAAAAAAAAGTGGCCCCAACAATGCATCCTCCAAGTCTGGAGGATGAGCAGGAGCATTGTCGAGAAGCAGGCCCTTTAGTGTCAAACTTTTCTCTTGCAGATATTTTTTGATGGCAGGGCAAACCACTCTACATCACAGTTTTTCTGCACGTTATATATTTTTTAAAACTCTTGGATTTTCGGAATGATACACGAGCAAGGGTTTAATTTTCAAATCGCCACACAGCACAAGAGTTAGCCTATCCTGACACAAGTTAGCCCAAGTTAGCTTGTGTCCGGGCAGTGACGTCTCCTCTTGGGTAATGTATGTCCTCTTCGGCAATTTTTTCCAGAATAGCCATGTCTCCTCACAATTAAACACTTGTTGTGGAATATATCCATCAATACAGTTTCTACAAAATCTTTAAAATCACGAACAAATCTTTCAGCCCCTACTTTGTCTGAGCTGGCACCCTCACCATGCCTCACAACACTATGAATACCACGTCTTTTTTCAAAATTTCTCAAACCATCCCCTACTCACCTTAAACTCTTTCGTATCTGCAAAACTCGTTCTAGGGGTTTTCTTTATAAGATCTTGCATGAAGATTTCATTGTTGACCAAACCACACACTGGAAATTGAATAGACGACGACATTTCGATCCGTCCTGGACCATTATAAAGTCGATTGTGATGAGATGAGGGAAGCAAGAGCATTAAGTAGGCAAGAGAGAGAGGTGAGGAGATGGCAAGTATGTACGTATGTACATGAATAAAACATGTACATACTTATACATAACGTGTGTAAATAGTGTAATAAACACAATAACAGTATTTTGGGAGGAGGAATGTTGGCGAGTAATGTGTTGGAGGAGGGAGGGAGGACTGGCAGGGTGTGGCAGCTCACTCATGTTTTTTGGGCTCACCATACCAACATAGTGGATCGTTATGGTGAATACATACGTAGATGGGTATATACAATGTGTGTGTATAGTGTAATAACAGCAAAAACACTGTTTGATTGTAGAATATGTCGCATATATGAGGCCCATAATTTTGAGCATAGTGATGTTCTATACTTTGAATTATATAAATTCCACA